ACCCATCCCACCCCAGGGGAGGACATCCATCATACAGTAATCTCATGTGTGGGAAATTAACGTCTCCTACCCCTAACCCTGCAGGAGATGGGACCTCCATTTATTTGTCCCTATCCGAGAAGACTAGAATATCTAACCATTTCTTGATGTTATAGAAAGGTAGCATATTCTCAATTATTTTAAGACCTTGAGTGTTGGTCCGGCTGGGGCTTGAACCCTTGACCTTCCGCACAGCAGTCCAGTGCTCTATCCACTGAGCTAACCAGAAGGCGGTTAACTCTAAGGGATCAAAGGCTTAATGCAGACCTTCCTTTTATCTTAGAAAAAAGGAATCATAAAACACTTACTGGTAATACAAATGCATTCATATCATCACAATTCACCACATTGACTTGCCAAGACAGATGTTCCATTTCCTTGCTACCATTTGCCATCACCAACCTCTTAGCAACCCTGAAGACTCTGAGGTGATTGGGATGGGTCACGGGTAAAATTTTGTCTGCATATAATTCTAATGTATTCCTATACTCTGTACTTGTTAGTTCCTCCATTTGTTTATGAGAGATTGGCATAAATCGGGGCCTGTGAGTGAATGGCGTTTCTTCCAGATGGAAAAAGTAATATGCGATACATAATCCACCAAAACCACCAACGACTATGGTCAATCTCTCCTTCCGAAGATGAAATGCTTTAGTCAGCTGTAAACGCTTATCAGCTGATAAATTATTCCACCACTTACGAAAATATCTGAAAAATTACAGAAAAATACGTTATTAACTTTTAATAATCCAAAGATGAATAATGATTAAACTAATCGATATATTAGTACCTCTAATAATACCAAATAATGATGTTAGTGTTACACTACAATTCTATTTTACATGCATCTTTGTTTACCTTCCTCCAACAACAGCAACAAGTTTGGTCAATTTTGATAGAGGACCAGCAAGTTTTACAAGGAGAACTGCAAGTGGAGCAGCAGATCTTGGCTGACTTGTATGGAATCCTCTAACTGCATAGAAAGACCAAGATCTACAGCAAATCTGACTAAAACTCCCTAAAGGTAACGTTTGAAACAGCAGAGGTTGTTGGTGGATGCTAACAAATCGACTTCCACTATTGACAAATAATCGGGCATGATTACTCAAGATAAACCTTGAGTGACTAGACAGTAGTTGTGCAGAGCGTAGAAATAGATGCATTATTCTCAAACATTAATCGAAGTTAAAATCTTTTTTGTTCACTCGTCCTCCATATTGAGACCGTTGTAATCTTCAGAGGAGCGGTTACACAGGAGAAAGGTTATCATGTGGAATACGCAGTAACTGAGTGTCCTCCGGAGTTCTAAGACAATATGGCGTCCTGGCGATCGACGTAGTGACAGGCTGTTTGCTCCATTGTACCGATGGAAAGGAAAGCTGTTTCTCCTGATTCTTCGACTCACCTCGCCGAGAAAAATAAGAAGTCTGCGAAACGAAAACACAAACATCGGTAAGTACCATAAACATGTTTGTAAACAAACTTCTTCAAGCCATTGCTTTGAATTCTTTTAATTAATTTGTTAGAAATTGCAGTCTGATAGTTGTACAACGTTAAGATAGCGCTTTGACCTATGCTACGAATTATTTCGACAGTGAAAGGAAGAAAAGCAAGAAGTCAAAATCTTCCAGTCCATCCCAGGATATCGAGAATGATGATATCAACACAGGGAGTACTGAAAATAACAAGGCTAGCGCCAGCAACGAGAGGATTAAACACCTCACAGAGTTCCTAGATGACAGAAAGGCACTTCACACTCAGCTGTTTTCCATCATTCCCAAGAAGGAAGTCAAGGAAATGATGCCGGACATTTTAAAGGTATTGTGTTGAAAGGAAGATCAATGAATATAATTGTAACTGCATGGTGTACATGTAACATTATAACGTTTCAGATGTCAGATAAGGCCATGTTGTTGTCTAACCGACCGGCTCTCAGGAAATGTATGAAGAATATACATTCTGGTGCTAAGAAATAAAGGGTTAATCTTAACTCTCATTGCATAATTCCGCCCAACAGTTAACAAAACTTCTAAGTAGAATTAATCAGGTGAGGTAAAGAGGCACAAAAATAGATGGCTATTAAAAATAATAGATGGCTATTAAAGAGACACCCCAGAAAATATGTGATATGGAAGCAAGCATAGGAGACAGAGCTGGGTAAGATTTCCACACAGCCCCACACTTCATCATGCAAACAGTTTTTGGATAAAGAAAATTAGGGCAAAAAACAAATATTGCCTTTTGGACTGCAGCTTTGTTTTGCTCACACTAAGATTACAGATATTCTTGGGTGCCTTGTACTCAGGCCATCTGTTTTTATACTCATTTAGTTCCCTCAATCAATTTTCCTTGGCAGTTTTGTAAACTGCAAAGCTCATAGTTATTGAGAGTTAAGAAAATGATGTAATAAAGTATTCTTAAGATAAGCTCACTGAGAATTTCAAGATCATTTAATTATATATTTGCCATAAAATTAAGTTTTATGGAGATGTAAGTTCACCCCCTACCACCTTTGTAACTTCACCCAAGTTCACCCCCACCTTTACCAGTGGTAGGGTAAGTTAGTGGGGGTGAAATTGCTAAGGGATAAAACCTCCAGTTCTCAAAACAAATTGCTTCTGAGGAAAGAGGATTTCCTCCTTGCCAATCCCCATGATACACCACTCCAATACATTCAAACTTCTTCTGTTTTTGTAGAAGCTAAGTTTCAAGGAAGTGAAGAAACTCTGTGCAGAGCAACTTGAGTCATTGTCAAAGACGCAGCTTAAGATTATCGTAACTGGACAAGAAATGGCATCTTCTGAGGATGAAAGCATGGACAAGGAAGGAGGTGTTGACAAAACACAGCTGAGGAAACAGAACATGAATGAGGAGAGTAAAAGAGTGAAGGTACATAGACAAACTTTTAACAGCCACCCAGTTAGCCCAATGGATTAGTGCACTGGACTGTTGCGCAGGAGGTCGAGGGTTCGAGCCCCGGCCGGGCCAACACTCAAGGTCTTAAAATAATTGAGAGGAATTTGTTATCTTTCTATAACTTCAAGAAATGGTTAGATATTCTAGTCTTCTCAGATAGGGACGAATAAATGGAGGTCCTGTCTCCTACATGGTTAGGGGTAGAAGACGTTAATTTCCCACACACGAGATTACTGTGGGATGGATGTCCTTCCCTGGGGTGGGATGGTTGGTTTGTATTGTTGTGAAGGGCGTAAGTTAGATAACTCATTGGGTTAATTATGTCACCTTCGTTAAATAAAGAATATTGTATTGTATTGTATTGTAGCATCACAAAACAGCCACCTGATGAATATATTTAAAATATAATAAAACTATGAAAGGATAGGGTAACTTTTAACCCTGTAACTCCCACATGTGACACCTCCCTAAAATACCCAAAGATTTTCCAGCATACAGGTGATGTGAATAATCAAAATTATCGGGTAGGTGTTGTCATTTTGATCTAACACCTCATTCTAGTAACTACCGGTACTTTATAAGGAAATGTGTAGCAGCTAGAGGAGAGAATTAACAGTTAGATCTTGGGAGGGCTAAGGAAAGTAGAGTACATCAACTTAATGTTCCTTGTTTATGTTAATGTTCCAGAGAAAAATAAGTAAATCAATTAGAGAGGGAAAAGAGGAAGAAAAGAAGGAGAAAGATATGATCATTTTTGAAGAAATGATCACTATTCCCAACCAAGAGGAAATCGATGAACTAGTGGAAGGTAAATAACTTCAAGGCATTACAAATATTACGTCGGTGCAATCAATGAACCACTTAGATTTCACAAAGGATTGTTTGTAGTACTCTGAAAAGGGCTTTATAATTCCTCAGACACATTAAAAAGAAAAATACCAATAAGCAGCCACATGTATTAACGCTTTACACCCTGACATCATGATCAATCTTCTCCTTACTGCTCTCCATACACTTCCTTTGGTCCTGACTAGGAGAATTCATTTCACAATCAAAACTTCCTAGACTGTTGATCATTTTCTTTATTCTCTTGATCTTAATGAATAATTCAGCAGCATTACTATAAGGAGAAATTAGATGCTGATCACTCAGTTACTTAAAGGTAGGACTAAGCTTTTCTTTCACTCCTACTCTCACTCAGACATGCTAATTTCTAGTCTTCTGTTCTCTAGGAAACAACACTGCTCAGCAGCAAGCTACAGAGGACACATCTCATTCAACAGAAGGAACCTTGGATGAAGAGGCAGAACTGAGGGAACTTGAATTCCGCGCACGGGCGCTTGAGTCGCTGGTCCGCGCACGTGAACGTCAGATGAGGACATAGAGGTGCCATATTTGAGGCCATCACTGAAGCCTAAAACTCAAGTCCTAAAAGAAGGGTAGTATAACGTATCTGAGTGAAACTCGTGTGGGCAACAAGAATTTGTGGTTGGGATATGATCGTCAAGTTACGTTTCCAATGAAAAACTTCAGATAAAGAAATGTCGGAAGAGTTAAAAAAGACTCGAGGCTTTCTAAGAACTTTGTCAGCCAGTTTAAATCTGGATAACGAACTTTGCGAGTTGATGATGATGACGACGATGGAGGTGATAGAGTGGAAGTAACGAAAAACGACTTTGAATGTCTTTAAAGGAGAATCGCTTGTTGACATTGTTTTCGAATCAGGCATACAGTAATAATAAGTAATCAGTATGAACTCAAGGAACGCCATTCAACGTCGAAAAGGAAATAAACGAGAGTGAAAACTGAGTTATTTTCCCCTTGTGGTCTCTAACAATTAAAACAACGTTCAGCAAAGGGCTTGTTAATCATTTATTCGTGATTTTTCGATACGTGATACAGTTTGGAGTAGTTTAGGTTGATATAAAGCTTAATTTTATATTAATAGTATCAGCGATGGTTCAATGATGGCGCTAAGTCTTAAAGTTCTAGTTCTCCTTTGTGCGACGAAATATTTCAGAGTTTAGTCGGATGTGCGATCTCTTTCCAAATCCTCCGAGTAAATCAGGATCTGACGAAAAAAATTGAATAAATAGATAAATAATTCATTAAAAAGTTGGTTTCCGAACATATTCAACACCTTTCAAAAGTTGTTTGATACAAACAAAAGATGATGAACTCTTAAAATATGGTCACAGAAAGATTACAGAAGGGCGGTGTCCCGGTTCGGGCATCTTGAAATTTTTAGCCTAAATTTTTCAAGTTTGTTATCTGCAGTGGGAAAGCCGGCCCAGCAATGTGTCAAACTCGTTCCTAGGGCCTTTCCCCGCTTTACCCCCAACTAAGGGAGAAAGCCCTGGGAACGAGATTGATATTATGAATCCGTTAAGACACATCAGCCTGGTAACTACTGGCATATAAGATCATGTGAAGCGTGAGGGCAATTTGCGACAAATTAATCTAAGATCCAAGCTTCCTCAAAAACGAGAAATCTCGATAACTCAGCCATAAAAGTCATAATTTGGTCCTTGAAAAAAAAAAAAAAAACATAACATGAACCTCTGTAAACTGGGGATCTTAATCTTACCGATTTCCCAGCAGTAATATTCCACTTTAACCCCCTCTGAGAATCCAATCCCTGGAGGATGGCTGCTAATGTTACAGATCGCAGACTCCAGACCGTTCGCACCCTTCTGAACAGTCCGACTTTTCTTGCAATCTTTTTCAAAGGCGCCTTTCGCTGCAGAAACTTGCTGCCAAATTCCTTGGTTGGTCCTTTTGTTAACCGCTTTTAGGGTAAACCATTTCCCGGGATAACTACATGTAAGTTGCAGAGGGATTATTCCTGTAACTCAAAATTACAGACGGAATCAAAATTAGCGAGAATTCTTCGTTTTATATTTACACGATGCTGACTTTTATCTTGAGTCAGGAAAAACTTGTTGAAACTGTTCTTTTTTTGTTGTTTGTATGTGTGTACGTATAAACTCTACTTTCGCGGTCTCGAATATTGTGACGGTGGTCAAAGTATTAGTAAGTATTGCAGATGAAGTTTCTTGGGCCAATTATGCACGAATTACCTTACTCGAAACTCGCGAAAGGCCTGGACGGTGTAGGGGTACGTCTGCGCGGTTTTAAAGCCGTGAATGAAGTGACGGTGGTATTTTCAGGACTTTTTTGCCAAAAGGGTCATCATGTTTCTCCTAAAGTTTAAGGGGGGCGCTTTGTCATTGCCACGAAACAAAAGCTATTCAAGAGTGATTCTGTGGATCTCTCCTAACTCTTTCACTCCTAAGGTCTAATTAGCAATTCTCCTTTCTCTCTGCCCTACAATTTTCATGATGTTAGTGCGGAGAATTAGTTATTGGATCAAGTAATGAAGTGTTATCCGCCTTTTGATATTTCTCTTCATTCTCATCACTTATCTGTTTGATATTGGATTGATGTTGTAAGGAGAAATTCTGTCTTGGTCACTTATGGGAGTTTAAGGGTCAAAGGTTGTTTACTCTTGGCGTGACTCAAATTTTCTTATCTAAGTGAGATTAATATGAAGTAAATAAGATTAGTCACATCTAAACGCCTTCGTTAATGTAACCGAAGCATTTTTTTTCTCCGACGAAAGGCACCATAATTTTTCGCGTCAGCCTTAACTTATAAGGAAAGCCCTGCCGCTTTCCTCAAGGAAAAGTTAAGCCGTGTCTCTACATATCCCCACCCTCCCCCCCTTCTCCTTCTCATGTCAAAGCCACTTACCATCGCAAGGAGGATCTCTGTGTGTAAAGAGACAACGGTTGCCACCTAAGATATGAAACGAATACAACATGCAGAATTAGCGTGAGAATCTCTACAGGTCATCCTTTCTTTCATCCAAAAGACAGATGTTTTAAAAACCTCGAGATTCATTGTGTAATTCACTATAAAACAATTTCTAGACGCTCATAATTCTTTGCACAATGGCTGTACCGGATATTATCATACGAGGGTTCATGAAAATGGCTAAATTGAGTGATTGTTTTAACGAGCTTGTCTAGCGTTTGATTTACACATGGTAATTCATTCCACAGCTAAAACTTAATATTTAGTAAACTTCTGTCATAAGCTTTTGTGTGCTTTGTAAACGAAGTGAAGTTTGTTTGATGTTAAAAGAAATTAATATTGCCTTTCTTTGTAATCTGTTGTACGGTTTGTCTAACTTTAATAATACGTGGTTGTACTTGGCAAGTAATTTTGCACGTCACAGGCAACTGAGTTTTTCTGGCGCCAAAAATACGCGCGCATATTTGTGTTAAATTAGGAACTGCGAAATTTCTGCCCTCATTTTATGTGGAATTTCGTCTTTCATGTACATGCAATGACGATTTAAGCAAAAGAATTCTGCATGTCATCCTTAACTTCCGCGCGTCGATCGTTCATAGGCTCTTAGAAATTTGTTGGCGTGTCTTTCCTAATGACTTAGCTGTACAATAGCGTTTAAGAACTTTTAGCAAACGAATTCATTTGGCTAATTCAATTTACCGTTTTCTTTTTTATCGCTTAAACCTTTCCCCGATGGATCAGGTTCACGAGTTTGTATGCTTTTGGCCAAGCCATGAAGAAACTGAGAAATTCAAAAGTATCTCTATGGCTTCCAAGCCAACTAACTGATCATAGAGCCTATGCTTTGCGCCGTTGTGTAAGTAAATGTTTAAGCACAGCAATGTTTAAACCGAATATATTTCAAGGGGTATTGCGAATTTTTAAGGTAACAGTGAGTATATCTGTTAAAGTATGGGGCAAGATTTCCGTATAACGCCATACTTCATTATGCATTAAATTCTTGGATAAAGGAAACAGAGGCAAGACAACAGATTTCCTTTGGGACTACGGCTTTGTTTTTGATTGTTACACGGAAATCTTTCCAAGTAAGGTACTATAAACAAGAATATATTGGAAACAGCAAACAGAATAAAAGAACCAGGTATTACGACGAATACTACAGCAAAGTCGATAAAACAACCACTATTCATTAAAACTGTTCCATATGTTGCTTTACTACTCGAATTAAAAAAGGCATACGGTTTGAATTGAAATCATGCACTTACTTGCTTCACAGAAGGATACGATGGAAACCAATACCACGCCTAACAAGGAAGGCAGCAGAACTGAGATTTTCTGAGAAGCCATCTTCACGTTCGCCAACCAAAACACGTCAGTTTGCACTGCAAAATGTGCTAGGGGATGTTAACACCGTTTAAAACTTTTGTCACAATCGTCTAAAGAATCCGGCACTAGCTGATTTATATTCCGTCGTGATTTCATTCATTCTGTTTTGAGCGATGGGATTGGATGACAGGTGTGATGCACTGGTTTGAGTTTTGGTTTGTTTAATGTATTTTTGTTTGATAACAGTTCTTAAAAGATTGATTCATAAGAATTGTGATAAGTCAGAAGTTGTGGATTAGTTTTCCGTAATAAATGCAAGAAAAGATACTTGCAGAGCAGAAAGAGGAAAACAAAAACAGGTAAGCATTTCGAGCTGACTTGAATGTTTTTCGCGCGCAACAGTGTCTAATCAACTATAATCTTCATTTCATCTTCTTCAATGGACTAAAAAAGTCACAAAGAAACGGTTAACTCTCCATATTTAACCACTAGGGTAGATGCTTGCATGAATAATATCGAATCAGTGAAAAATTTATTTCAGTTATGCTCTCTCTCTTACTGAGCTATGACATATGTCAGAATGAATTAACAGATTGACCTGTTGAAACACGAGGGTTAAAAAATTGTTTTGGTTTTCCTTATGGCGGTGTAGCCTATATTTGGATTTAGTCAAGCCTAGATCTAGACGCTTGGCTCTCAATTTTTTCCCTCGCACACCCAATAAGTAAAGTTGTCTTATTGGAGAAGGTCTTTCCTTGAATGCGTGATTTTAAAAACTCTCCGCGCAGTGGAATCTTCCTCTTTTTTGTCAGATTTATATATGACTGGTGGGTTTGAAGACATATCTAACGATACTACGTACTACTGAAGCATTTTTCAAGCAAGAACAAAACAAAGAGTTAGTATAACGTTCAAGCACTTATCACAAGAAAATTTGCAGGAAGGAATTATGTTAATCAGGAGTGATAAATGGTCAGGCGTACAGCCGGTGAGTTTTGCTTCACAAGTTCAGAATAATGGAATGAGGCTTTTGTGAAGGAGACATTGAGTTTTCCAGTTTTTGTACTTAGTATCTTAAGGTTTTCCTGTTTGACAGCCTGGATCATCAATAGCTGCGGTTTTAGGTTTCGAGCGACTTTTACCCAAAATTTTTTGTAAGTTCTGGTCGATTTCCTGATGGTGAGAGGATCCAGTGTTCCCCTCTAATTGATAGAGTGAGTTGAAATTGAAATAGTTGAAATAATTGAAATAATTGAAATAGAATTGAAATAGTGCTTTACTGCGAAGGATCGTGCTCATATAAGAGTGAGTTGGGTTGCGCGCAAAGAACACTGGGAACCCACAGAGGTCGATTTGCAAGCGATTCGGGGGAACCCAAGAGATGATAATGTACTGGAACCTAATCTTGTGCAAGGGCTCCTTGGAGTCTCGTGTCTTCCCTTCAAGAAAAAGTTGCAACACTACAGTAAGCCTTTCTGGAAGTTGAAAACATGAATGGAGTGGCCTTGGTATCTAAAGTGATCCTATTAGATATAGAACCTTTTTGAGAGGGATAAGACCCGACCTGTTCTCATGTTTGACATGTTTGCACACGTGCATTTTTTAGAGACCTATTCCCAGGCTTTTCTCTCATGAAAAGAGGAGAATCTAGAGAGGACTTGGTTAATGTTTATCTATTCAGCCCCAAGAGTCTGCTATACTCAACTGATGGAATAGTGAGTTTTGCTGATGTTCAACGTAATCTAATCAAACGACACTGTTGAATTTCTTCTCCCTGCCTTCCGGTCGTTTGTGCAATTGCGATAAAAGGTGAATTTTAAGAATTGATTGAGAATTCGAGATATTGTTTTAGTTCTCTGCAGATCTATTTTTAGTAAGGATCAAAGATTAGAGGCTATTGCCGTTCGTCGCGTTGGCACTAAGTTGGTACTACGTGTAATTCTATCACATGAACGCAAAAATTGATCCATGTGCAGGCGATCACAAACAGATTAAGAGTGGATGTTCTGCACACTCGTCAGTATCGCAGAACAAAAATAACAGACTTTGAAATTAACCTCAAAACGGATGTTGTAAATCTGAAACTTGCCGAACAATGAATGATTTTTCTCTTAGACTGATTTCAATTTGCTGCTGCATCTAAGACGGGCAAATGAAAACACAATGTAATTACCCCATCGCCGTTTTAAAATAACCAAGATTTCTGAAGTCAGTTAACGATTACAAGATTTGTATTTCCTTTGGAGTATATTCCCATACAGCCAAATATAACATTGGGTTGCCTGTTAATTCCATCATGATAATCTTAACATTTTTAAATCGCCTTTCAAAGGGGCCGGTATTGGTGATTAATCAATTGTGAAAACTCCATCCCAAATGCCCGGAATTCTAACGCGTATCAACCCACAAGACATTTTTAGAAATTAAATGCTGTTCAAAACACTTCCGAAGAAATAATTTTGAAGGAGCGCCTGTTCTATGAAATAAGCTGCTATAATTGCTACAAAGAAAAATCTTAACACGTCTCGTAACAGAACAATTTTCTTTCACTAAAAACGCAATGAGTTACAAATGGTAATCTAGATGTTATTAATCTTTAATCTCCTTCTTAATCATTGTCTGATTAAACCTGCTTTCATTGTCGCGTTTGGACATTAAAGGTGGACATCGAGCCGATCACGTCAATGCTTAGTCTGATAACTGAACCTGAGATTAATTCTCCCCAAAAATGCGTTGGGCGTCCAAGAAACCAACCTCAATAACAACTACAAAGCATATGTTTCAATGTCAAAGTAAATTTCACACGAGACGAAATATTTCCAAGATGAGGGCCATAATTAAAACTCGAAAGAAAGGACATTGAGGAATTGTAATTTAAACTTAACAAGGTTATCAACAAACACTCAATAAGCGATCTATTTAATTGCCGAGACAGTGATTAGCCTACGGCAAGCTCCATTTGACAAAGCCGGAAAAGGCCTGCAGCTATGCAAGGTTTGTTAAATCATATAGTTACCGTATTATCTCCAGCTAAGACCCATAAACTGTACGCGTATTGTGTGCGGCAATGGTTTCTTTATTTTTCTGGAGAAGTGAATGGGTTTTAAGTCAATAGATACGCTTTTATTCATTTATCGACTGTCAGTTCTTAAATCGAAAGCATCTTCCTTCTTTCAGAGTTTACATCTATTGAATATATCGTTAATCTTTGTTTTTGTTCCATTTTATTAAATTTGCCCTCGCGCTTTAAAAAGGTTTCCGAAGCAAATGAAATCCGAAGCAAATGAAATCAATATTGCTGATTTCACCTGGCAAAGTAAATCTTAATTTTGATCAGCATGAACAACATTAAAAAAAAATCGACATTACAATATTTTAACTAGCCACCCGACTTTAATTAACGTCTTGAGATAAGAGTATTTTCAATGCCTTCTGCTTTCCGCAGAGAAGAGCTGGGGTAAACTAATCAGGCGTACATCGAAAGCTGCCCATCAATTTTAGTGTCGGTCATACAGTAAATGAAATAAAAAAACAGCGCTGAATTTACTAAGTATTGGTCAGGGTTTTTTTCTGTATTAGGGGCTTCTTTTACGAATAAGCTCGGGTGTAAACAGTAATCAACGTGATCGATAGGGGTAATTTATTTTATTTTCTCATTATTATTATTTTCTCAGTTGTCATCACCATCACGTACACAGGGCCAATGTTAACTCAGCTTATGAAACTTTAGAAAGAAGGAGTGTGCTTCGATCGAGCTCTCAGTGATTGGACTGAAATTCTGGAGCCATTTGGAAGTGTCAATTTATTATTATTCAAACGCGCTAAAATTGATGTCGAGTTTCACTTATAACCTGTCATTCATCGATCATTTCGATTGGACTGTATTCAGCAAAAGAGTCAAAAGCCAAGGATAAAACGTCCATAAGAGCTTGCACCCGAGTGAAGGATCGAGCGGAGGGAGTTTGTTACGGAAGGCACGTACGACAGTGTTTGCGTGCGGTGTAAACGAGATTTCTGTAATCGTTCCTCGCCTCACCCACCCACACGTTGGTTCACAATATGAACAACACATCGACCAACAACACTGGTAGCGACACTCAACCAAGTGTAACACTCGTGCTTTACTTCACAACGTTCTTCATCGGTCTTACGGGGAATATTCTTGTCGTGGTGATTATCGTCACTCGAAAAACCAGTAAACGTTTGAATGATATATTCGTCCTTAACCTCAGCGTATCTGATTTGTGTCTCATCCTTTTCTGTTTGCCCCCGCTGATTTATGTACAGCTTGTCGGTTCTGTTACTTCTCCATTTTATTGTAAATTTGTATGGCCCATGGTTACTGTTTCATTCTCTGCCAGTATTTTGACCATCACTTCTATGGCGTGTTACCGTTGTAAAGTTCTTCTTCATCCCTTTGAGCTTCCGCCCAGCGGCAAGCAGGTTCTTCTGTGGATTTCGTCAATATGGCTTCTCTCCTTTGTGATTTCCATACCACTGATAATCACCTCAAAATTTCTAGAGAATCTTCAGGGCAGCACATGTTACGAGGACTGGCCAAGTATAAATTTTAAAAGAGGTTACACCGTGGCGCTTTTCATTTTTCAATATCTCTTGCCCTTACTGACCATAGCCGTCGCTTATATACGAATTGGTATCGATTTGACACGAACCAAGGTTCGGCGCGCTTCGATTACAAAAAAAGGAGACGTTTCAGACCAAGGAACGAGAGAAGAAAATGTAAAAATCATAAAAATCTTAGCAACAATTGTTGTTTTGTTTACAATTTGTATGTTACCGGTGCATATTGCTTGGATGTTATTGGATTTTGGCGGAAACCGCGAGAAAGCGATAGCGGAAATAATTTTCAAATTTTCAGATGTCTTAGCCATTTTACAAAGTTGCCTAAATGCAGTAATATATGGCGCGCTCACCAAACATTTGCGACATGGATTTTTAAAGTGCTTGTTACGGCCGTTAGCGATTTGTTACGATTTTCGAAAAGGTAGAGAGCAAGTCAGTTCGCAAAGAAGGCTGACATACCAACCAACTGGAGAGGAATTGGAGACATTCACTCTGGGCAGAAAAAGTACGTTCTCTTAAAAATCAGTTGATGTTTCTACGCTAGGACCAGCTTTGTTTCCCCTGAAAGAACCTTAAGCGTTAACGAAATCGTGCAAATAAGATCATTTGCAAGTTTTTTGTTCTTAATAGATTTTGAGTAATAATGCTTTTAGCCGGAACTCAAGTGACAATGACTTAATATGCCTAAGGAAACAAACCGAACAATGGATTCAGTACCAGGTTGAAAGAGAATTTGTGCGCAAATTGTTTTGAGTCAAGTTAGGTTGTTAGGAAACAGATGAACAATTATTGTTATTAAGGTAAGACCACTGGTTTTAGAACCTTTGGTCTAACATCACGTTTATCAAGTGTAAAGGAACTTGTTAAATTAAAGCATACCCAATCCGTAAATTGTTAATCCTCTTCTAGTTTTACTCTGATTTTTGTTTTGTTTTGTTTTTTTTATCTTCCCCATCAGATGTTTCCTCTCTCAGTTTTCACAAGAGAAAACTCTGACTTTAAGACAGATTTCCTGTCTCTTAAGTAAATAGATCAATGCATTAAGTCATTCCAATTTAACTTGCATTTATCATTCCACTAACAATGTCTTTTTGCAAGGTAAAGATCATACGAATTTGGACAGAAACAAATACTAATGTATTGGCTGTAAACGACTACACCATTCCTAATGGGATTTCCGGGAGTTTAGTACACATTCATTTTAAAGCTGTTTAAATTACAGACAATAGTTATTCTAATCTCTCTAATGATTCTTGCTTAATGTTTGCAAGTCACGCAAAGAAGGCTGGAGAGAGTCGTGGCTAAAAGTCACGCCTTCTCTCGATTGATTATACACGATAGCGTGACCATTTACGTAACAAGGTGGCTACGATTCAAGTGGCATGGTGACCGAAAAAAACAATCTTGTTCGACCTTTTCTATCCTGCTTAATGATCTCACTTAATTGACACTTCCTCTCTTTTTTCAATCTCTGTTGCTCATTCCTACGGCCCTGTTTTCTTCACTTAATTTTCACGACAGGGTAAATAGCTCTCGTCCTTTTAAACTCTGAAATGTTCTTAACACAGAAGACCGTAGTGCCAGAAGTGTCTACCGTCAGAGGACGTATTTGCCAATCTTCATCGTTACCCAAGCCACTATCTGCGTCCACATGGCTATCGGCGCAATCGCGTGCCTCGCACTGACCTGACCCAATGATCTAAGGGAAATTGGAAAAGCATATCTTGGTGACCAAGCCTATACAACCAGCCGCGCGAAAACATAACGACTGAGAACTTAAAAAACGGAAGGCTGTCCTCTACATCACATTTCCCCTTATTAACTAAATAAAGAGCAACATCATATCTGCAAACCAATAATATTTACCTGAACGCTTAGCTTCCTGTATTTATTCCCATTTTTTCTGTGTGATGAGAACCACAGATAAAGTTCTTCTTTGGTAAGTTTCTTTAAAATTGCAACCTGGTAAAAGATGCAGAGTAACACTCAATTCTTTATGCTTAAAGAATAAAGAAAAGATCACCGAAGATGCATGCGTTTCACTCACTTCTTGTCGTTTCCTATTAAAGATGTAAGTCTGATCTATGACTTCAATCCAGTTTCTGTCAGCTTCATCTGCCAGACTAAGATCTTCATGTTCCTTGAGTTCAATAAGTGAATCAACCTGACAACCAAAACAGAGTAACGAAGTTTTAAGACAAACTGACACCGAGATTCTCGCGAAGCTAAAGAGTGTTACGATTGTGAGATTTTGTCCAATCACATTCGAACAGAAAGCGGCGTACGCGACTTTTCCCGCGCTTTCTCAACGAAACCAACTAGAATGAAGATACTTAGTTTTTGACCAATCAGATTCAAGAAGAAAATGAACACTGAGTGAGGTGACGTGCACATGCAGCTTTTCCTACACTTTTTTCGGCTTGCTTTCTAGTTCTTTTAACATTTGTGCCTTCAAGGCGCCGCACGTTCCTTGTGTGCGCTTTGTTAAGAGACACAACAAAAGAAAACATTTTCATACCTGGCTCTTGAAGTCTTCTTCTGTTATAGTACGTAATATTTCACCATATCCATCCAAAAATGCATCGATTCTACCATCGACATGTTCTGCACTAAAACCCAATCACGAGCATAGTAAATATAGAGAAAGGTGAAAACCTAATATATGAAAAAGTTATCGAACGACCTGCTGTCCACAACATATATGTCGAAAACCATAAGCGCGCAGAGCAGATTTTGGAGAAGACGAATTTACTTCGTTATACACATTATTTTAAGAGAGATTTTCAGACCTGATTTTTTGCATGCATCTCTCTCGCGAACCGACACCTACTTTCTGTAGGATAGTTCAAGGTTTAACCGTGTGAAAGCAGGAACACGACGAAAATAAAAAAAAGTACCTGAATTTTCCAGCTTGTGTTTGAACGGTGACTGAAAATCCGAGAACTCCGAATGTGTTTCTACAAGAACAGAACACAGAGTACCTGGCAGAGAACAGACAAATAAACTTAGAAGTGATAAATAAAATAAATATTTGTTTGTTATAAGCCAAACTTGCCATCCAAAACTACTTGAGGGGACATGGGGGCCTAAAGCGTAAGGCAGGGGAGGAGGGGAGGGGGGAGGGGACCTCAGATTCACCAATGGAAATTTGGATAGACGTGTAACCTTGGACTTGTTTCAGGGCAGCCTAGGTATAGCCTTATCCTCCACCCCAAGAAGAAAAGGGAGGCGTGAAGATACGGATTTACGTAGGCTTGGTTAAGCGCATCCTTTTTCGAATATAAACGAAACTCATAGGAGGTAACAACACCTCAGCTGACATCAGCTCTTCGTCGTTTTGCACCAATCATATCTACTTTAAAAAAAATCTTACCCAAGTTGTTCTTGAGTGCGAAGTATATCGAAGCACGGTTCCTCCATTCGCATCTAAAATGAGAATAAACAACTTAACAGAAGAAGAATTTAGATGTAACTTCAACACGAAAGGCTACATGTTTTTACATACCAAATAATAATTCATTGTTCCGTAGAACTGATTCTTCTTAAGACAAGTTAATCCATTCTTAACTAAAGAAAACAAATGAAGAATGGAGCACGGTCGATCCATACCAGTAGAAGGTCCATAATGGTAAATTTTTCAACGGATGCAGGTCCAGACTAGAGAAAAATTATAAAATTGATAAGTTGGTGTACAAATTTAGCGCAGGATGAAAAAACATCGCATTTCTCTGCATAAAAGTACAGATATCCCGAACGCTCTAACCCTGAAGTCAACGGGACCTCACTGTACTGCTATTTTTACGTTTTAAAAGGAAGGGAAAACATTTGAAGATGTTCCTTTGGTGTAAAAGTTGTATGACGGTCGACGCACATGGTACAGAGAAGGTACTTGTTGCTCAACGGAACAGTGGGACTCAGACAGAGGTTTTAAAAGACTTTTGACGATTTATTTCGCCATTACCTGGTAGTAGTTTGTAACAACAGTGTTGTCATCTTCTTTATTAAATCCCATCACACGGCAGATGCATTCACCCTCTGGTAATTGCATAACTCGGATCTAACAAACAGATAACAAAATGGACAGTGAACAGTTTGAACCCTGGAGTAAAAGTTGCTCCTGTACTCTCATTGTCTGGGTGAAAGTGCGGTAGTCCCGGCCCGAGGGGAATGTTAAAAGGCTGAAAATTTCTAAAGAAACTATGGTGCTGCGTCGGTGGGTAAAAAAGTAATTTGGTTATAATAACCGAGTTGAAATTGTAAATTGGTCACCGTAACGAGTTAAAAAGCGACGTTTCGAGCGTTAGCTCTACGTCAGAGCGAATGGAGGAATGTTGTCGGTAGAAGTGACTGACTTTTCGAAAACCTAAGTCATCACATAATGACTTCAGTTCAGATTGTCAAAACTACAGTCGCTACAACTGATAACAGTAATCTCAGGATCAACGTACTTCATCAAGACGATCAGGCTATTCGAATAACATTTTACTGCTAAAACATACTATGTTCAAGATTCCCTAGGGCACATTTTAAATGAGTGTTGTGCAACAAAACCCCACATAGAGCTTATGAGAATTCGAAGAAACATATAAACTGCCCGAAAAGCGGAAACACATGAGAGCAAAGGTCACGATTTTAGTCACGTTTTGCAACTGATTGGTTACAACTTATGTCTTTGAACGTTTTCTTACCTCGGGATGAAGACATCTCGTTAATGGCATAAACTGCAGCTTACTGCAAATAGAATGTTACAGATAAAGTGATAGAAAACAAGCGGTCTGAGACTGCATGTGATTACTTATAGAGCACAATTTTTATAACATCAGACACTTGTGTCTAAAATCAAAAATCGCACACTAGTGTCCGAAATAAAAAATCGGTCCAAAATAATCATGTCCAAACTAAAAGATCGGCAACTCACGTCCAAAATAAAAAATTGGACACTAGTGTCCAAATTAAAAAATCGGCCACTAGTGTCCAAAATTAAGAATCGGTCACTGGTATCCAAAATCAAAAATCGCCCACAGCTATCACTGCACGAGTGAATGTGGAGTTTGAATTGCGTACTGGAAGCTAAGAACCACTTAAAATTTACAAAAATTAGTATCAGTATGAAGCGGAGAAAATTCGTACACTTTATAGTTACGTACCTATAAAGCTGTTCCTGTAAAGCGATGGCTTCCTAAAAGAAAGAGAACAATAATTTTCACTGTAATACCCTATGAGAAAATGACACGATTTTGGTTTAATGACGCCATGTAATGATGAAATCTGTCTTTGCATACCTGTGAGGTTATGTTTCCTTGAATTAGGCTCTCCACGAACAACTTGCACTTGAAACAGGATACAAAGTGCTGCAAAAAAAAAAAAATTAAGAGTCAGCAGTCTGTTTCTCTCAAAACACAACAACACAAGCCTCGTGTAACAGACTGTAATTAACTCCAGCCATCCTTAATGACTTCTTTGGGGATAACTGTGTGCGTACCTGAAGTGCCTCTATCGTCACATCTGAGATGACGCTCCGCTTGTCGACAGTTGTCCATTTAACGTGCTGTAAGATTGACAAGCGAACAGACCTGGAAAATAATGTGCGGTTATAATAAACGCTCCTCACTCTTGTCACTGACTGTCTTTCAAATATCCATTACTATTATTATTATCCAACTGCGCTTCGTCGAGTACAAATAACGTGCGAGACGAGTACAAATATCACGCGATATCAGTACCCCAGAAATACCCGCGAAATTCGTCCGCACTAAAATGACAATTTGGCGTGTTGGATAATGAATCTCTTATTAATCGTTTAGTTGTGTAGTATCGCTGAGTATTTTTAATTGTTGTTTGTATTTCGACTCACCCTACGGGCTCGTCAAAATACGGCACAACCCGTAAAAATACTCAGCGATACTACACATAAAAACGTCTTATATCTATATATATATATATATAAACGAATAAAGAAGAAATAAAGTTGATTCACTTATCCTTGGAGTGCTCGATGCAGAAATGTGCAGAGCAAAAATACAAATGTTTATATAGATATTACATTATTCAGGGAACCATCGTTATTTACCGCCTAGTGGCGCAGAAGGGGAATTCGGAGGATTTTTGGAGGATCACGTGGTTTTAACCTTTTAACTCCCATGATCTGATTGTTAATTCTCCCCTCTAGTTGCTACATATTTCCTTGTAAATAAGTTAGGAGAATTTGGTGTTAGATCAAGATAACAATTTCTACCTGATTAGCTTGAGTATTCTCATTACCTTTTTGCTGGATAATGTGAGGTCATTACAGGGAGAAGTTACATGTGAATCACTTGCCAATGAGGGGAATCATTAGAATAATACAGAGCCTTATAAGTGGATCAGGAAAATTCTGTTGTGACGAAACCAAAATCCTCCTAACCTCCCCCCCCCCTCCCTTCCAGAAGTTCCCCATAATGAAGGAACCACATATTGATAGGTGAAGTATAAAATGGTCACTATGTACCTGACCAGCTTCTGTGGTTTGATGATACTGTTGCGATAGGATCTCATTAGCTTTCGCTGTACATGAAAAAGAACACAACATCTCTTCCTGTTAAGACCGATTTTGTTCGTGAATTTTATACCACAACTAAAAAATCTTCAAATCTCGAGAAAAATATTCATCTTTACTCAACAAAAACCTTTACCAAAAGGACACAGTTGTTAAAGGCACATATGGCGAGCTGTTCAACGATACTTGAAGATGCAAATTTTCATTTCAACTTTGTATAACGTTAAAAAGGTCGAATTTTTTTCTGCTCTTCTCGACTACCATCTTCTTAACCTCCACACAAGATTGGTCGAGGAAAAAAAAAAGAAACTTTCAGTGAACGCAAATAGGAAATAACCTTCCCAAATCTGTGATCATTACCGGCTAACTAAACGTTACTAAAAATTCCATTAACAAGTAGTCACCCAACTGGAAAGTCATAGATGAACATGCTAGTAGCTGTGGGGAAAACTTAGCATCCAGAGTGGAAAAAGTACACCACTTACTGCTAAAAACTGATGTTCGGGTTCGGTTTTCGGGACGAGACGTCACTTGGTGGCTATTTAGAACGAGAATCTTACCTTGACCATTTCAAACGTTTGGGTACCGATAGAAAAATCTGCTATGTGATCAATTATTGTTTCAAACAACAGCTGAGGAGAAACAAAGAAAGACAAAAGTGTTGTGACTGATTCTTTTGAAACTGATATAACCCTTCACAAGCCAACATCAGTATTTTTTTAATATTCTCTAGACTGTTCTATAAATTTCCTGCGAAAATTTTAACGTTAGATCTCGATAACAACCTCTACCTGATAAGTTGGAGTATTCTCATAACCTGTCTAAGGGATAATGTATGGATGTTATAGGGAGAAGTTACATGTAAATCACTTCCGGGAGTCAAAAGGTTAATCCGGATCCCAAGTGACAAATGTGAAAAATTCATGGTAAACTTTTCAAGAAATAAGCCTTGACGCAGTTCTATCAGGATTGCCATTAAGAAGAAATGTAACAGAGCTGCACCGGAAAACCTGTGTGTAGATGACACCAGTGCATTAGTTGTGGTAGGTGGTGACATTACAAACATTGACTCATTACAAACATTGACTCATTACAAACATTGACTCATTACAAACATTGACAAGCCTTGACGCAGTTTTATCGGGATAGAAGAAAAAATATAAAACTAGACGCACAGGAAAAGACCTGCGTGTAGACGACTCCAGTGCATCTATTAGTTGTGGTAGGTGGTGACGTTACAAACATTGACGCCAAACTTACTGGTAACTTGTGATTGAATCCTTCCAGTTTCAGAACGATCCCTGTTTCATTAACTGTCATGGAGTAACTAAAGAACAACACGAAATAGAGAACTGTCAACGCAACGCATGCAATGACGTTCAACTATCAAGGATGATAGCCAAGCTTGAACCATCTTCACAGACAAGTGCTTTCATTCTAGAACAATTTTCAAATGAGTGTCGACAGTTATTCTGGATTGCTTTAT